CATGAGAATGGAAGCAGATTTGGCCCGAAGATTGAAGGCACTAAGTGATTGGCCGAAAAGAGTTCAAACTAAGAGAAAATCAGAAATACCTCATTTAATAGCAGAATATTAAAAGTAAAACTGGAGTTAATTTCTGAAGTATAATGAAGAAGTATAGCAAGTAAAAAGCTTATTTTATGAGTACCATTTTTGGCTTAAGTTTAAGAGAGCCTCATTAATGGCTAAGCACTTATCAAACAGCCTTATTGAAAGTTCTAGCCAGTTTTTATTTGAGACACAAGGAACTTATCCATGTGAGATTATAAAATAAGCCTAAATTCGTAAACAAATCCCAGATTATTCTGCAAAGGAAATTATAAATATATAATCAGGAAGGATTAGGTGACCAACATGTAAAAAAGAGGCGAATGAAAGAGTTAATAGATATTTTCTAATGGTGACCAGATAATAAGTGGAATAAAACTAATTTTAAAAACAAAAATGGGTCGATTTTATGCAGTTTGGGGTCAGATTTGCCTTATGATCAGCAAGCATAGGTCTTTTTAGAGCAGTAGTATGAAAGGTTAGCAAATTTTGCTAAGTATCTTCAATTAAAGATATTTTTGCCAGCCTTCTCTTGAATGAGCCTGCTGCTGATAACAACAAAGGAGTACCAAATTGTTTCGTAAATAAAGTACAGCTGTGTCAGTGGTCGTCTTTCCAGTTAGGGATAGATGTGCATTGGCGAAGGCCAAGTCCCAAACTTACACAGAGCCCGGGAGCACCGGCTTTTCGCGCTTGCTTTTCTCTCCACGATCAGAAGAGCTGCATAATCCATGGTACCCAGACGTGCCTTGAGCGAATCGGGTCGCACCGTTAGGGGAGGTGGCGGCAGCCATTTTACAGGTACCAGATGTGATTTGATTGCTATTAGGTAAGGAAGGCACGACTAAGGGACAGTCGTTTGTAGGCCCGGTTCCAGTTCGTGTGCTGGCGATAGTTGCCGAGTAGGAATTGGGATTATGCTGAGGCTATAAATAAAAATTAAG